CAGAGTCTCTCTGTGGTCTTTCCTGCACAGCACATCCGCCATGTTGCTTGCAGACACTTCAAAGTCGCCGTCGCAGTCACTCAAGTCGGGACTATGAGACTGAGGTCCCTGCGGAAAATTCCGACGTCGGTGGCTGCCCAAGAGTGCAATAGACAGCTGGGTGGTCGGGTTGATCTGTAAGACTGGGAGGGAGTTCTCAGCAAGTCATGGAAGCTTAGCAAGTTCTATCACTATGTAATCATTTGGGTTCCTTCCCTCTCTGCATGCAGTTCGAAGCGGGATCATGGTGAAATGATCGTCCTCCGACATGTCATGTCCAGGTCGCGGTCGATGTCAGTCGTGTTCCTGACCGAAGGGTCGGGGCCATAGATTTATAGCCGTTTCTTGAAGCAGACTTCCGACATGTTGCCATATCTTTCATGAGCATTCCGAGCGAGAGCCTGCCGCAGTTCATTTCATTCAAGACGTTCCTGCTCGCGCTGAATAACATTCGCAGAGCACGATCAAGCCTAGGCCCGACAACGCATGATTCAGTCAAGGACCTCTGAGGTCTCTGTCGATATTGGCAAGGCTATGCATTTTATTGCTTGACGATCACTAGGGCCTTGAAACATGCTCTAGTTTCCTCGCTGTCGCTGTCGTGGTCGTCGCCATGTGGCACGGAAACAAGCGCGGCATCCAGAGCGACCAGGATCGCAAGGCTCGCCGTGCTCGAGGAGAGTACGGTCCTCGGGCGCAGACTCTGCCGCCCCGGCCGGGCTTCGGTGGAGCAGAGTCTCAGCTGCGATAAAAGTACAAATCAAGTTTGGCCATGTGCATTCCTTCGCAAGTTAGGGTTGAAAGTTGGCTCCCAGCTTCCAAGGCACCTGTGCCGCCACGTCCGCAGCAACAGCAGCAGCCACAGGCGGCACAGCAACAGCAGCAGCCACAGGCGGCAGAACAACAGCAGCCGGCGCCACAGCAGCAACAGCAGCCACGGGCGGCACAGCAGCAACAGGCGGCACAGCAACAGCAGCCGGCGGCACAGCAGCAACAGCAGCCACGGGCGGCACAGCAGCAACAGGCGCAGGAGCAACAGCAGCCACGGGCGGCACAGCAGCAACAGCAGCCACGGGTGGCACAGCAGCAACCGCAGCAGCCACGGTTGGCACAGCAGCAACAGCTTCGAGGTCGTGCAGAGCCGTTTACGCCGCCGGCCCCGGCCCCGGCCCAGGCCCCGGCGGCTCCGGTGCAAGAGGCCAGATGCAAAGACCTGGTCGGTGCAGGACAAGAATAATCATAAGTAATTGGTGGAGAGCAACTTGTTGTCCACGACGGCAGGGGGCAGCGGCTTCTTCGTCGTCGGGTACGCCGTCTGGTGGCCTCGACAGATTGACAGCCTTGCGCAGAGCTGCTGGACTTACTTGAGTTGGGTTGCCCTGACGTAGTAATTTTCGTCACCAAGGATTCAGATCAGCCGTGACCGAATTTATATCTGAGGCACTGTGGCCGCCCAATGGACAGGGCAGGCACTACTATGTGGAACCTCTGCTTCAGCTGGCCAGAGTCGATGTGTGCCAATTTTCCAGCGACCTGAATAATACTAAGGACTTAGCTCCCGGCGAATCCATCAACGGCTGGTACAAGAATGCGACGGGCCAGGACTACTATTTCCACCCAGATGCCAGACTGACGTCACAACGAAAGCCAGACACCTTCGCCATGGATGAAGCTTGGCTTCTATGATATTAATGATGAGTTAGTTATTTTCGATACTTGTGAACACGATGTACAACCCCACCCTTGAGAGTCGAGGTCGTGCCAAGACCAGTGCCACCGGCTGCTGGCAAGTGGCAGAAATGGATGGCGGTGGACAAGGGCCTGGAGTTTTGGTGGGATGGTGTCAACACACGGATGGAGCCGCCGTCGCCGTCGCGGTCGTCGTCGTCCTCCTCGTCTTCCTCCACACCGTCGGCGAAGAGGAGGCGACGGCAGCAGAACTTTAGGGACGCCATGGTGGCAGCGACGCATGCGACTGCTAGGGCGGTCGCATCAGCGCTGACTCCGGCCCCGAAGGGGAAGGCAAAGGCCAAGGCGAAGTCGCGCTCCTGACTGAATCGAGGTCGCGGTCGAGAAAAAAGAAATGAGCGCCGAGATGTTGCACTTCCAGACAGCGGTTTCAGTCACATTGCATGTGTTGATTCTCTCGCTCCCGAGGTTTGGCGCCGGACTGGAGATGCAGCAAGCAGAGGGCCCAGAGAAGACAGTTTCCTCGTCCTTCTCCAGACACCAGCAGTGGCACTTACTGTTCTCATTGTTGTCTGGTTGGCTCCTCTGCTTCGGACCCAGTTACTTCAGCAAACTACTTCGGCTCAGGTCGAAGCCAGCAGTGTCAACTTCGAGAAGCAGAATTTGACTCTGCACGGACCCTGGCTGCTGCCATGTGCTGTGCAACGAGACGCCTGCCAATGCTGTTGTCAGAAACTGTTCATTCAGCGAGTTGTGCATGAGACATGACTTGCAACGCCCGTGCAGCCTTTGCTTCGAGTCTCGCTGTCGCAGTCGTAGTCGCGCTCGCTTTCGCAGCCATGGCAACACAAGGCTACATGGTCGTTGATTGGCTCTCACTCAGTGGCCGCTATTCCACCACGTTGATGGGCGATTTTTCTGCACAGCCCTTGGAGGCCGATCGGAATTTAAAGCTCCAGCACACTATGAACCGGAGCAGCAGTAAGTAGTAATGAATGATTCTCTGATTGATTCAATGACCCCTCTCCTGTCAGGCCATATGGGCATTGGTCAAGGACGATGCAAAGCGCAAGCTCAAAATCACTTTCAGCAGCGGTGGCAG